AACCACTGTTAAATCACATAATTGTTATCATTATATTTGGACGGTATCAGGTTAAAATAGAAGGTAGGGGCAGAGAAATATGTACGCAATGATTTATGCACAAATAATTCATGTTAGAAAATCCACTTTTCGTAATACCTAAACCTTGTTAGACCAGGCTTAACCTTTATTTTTGGCTTGTAAAATAAGATCTAAAGAACTCGAAGGCTCAAATACTCAGAAGAGCGGTGAATGCATCTCTCAAGAACCTTGTTTCAGTATCAAGCTTCCCTGGCTAGTGTGTGTCCTATAGGCCCATGCTGGATATCACTTTAATGACCAACACGGGCGTACGGAAAAGTGTCCATTAAGCCTTAATCCTTTCACACCTTCGTCATATAAACACTAACCAATTTCAAAACCATCATGAATTGTAACTGGTTTTAACCTGTTGAACACGCACTTCTAATTCATCCGTATGTCGGACTGATTCATATTTTTGTCATCATCGCAAGTTCCGTTGTTTCTGAGTTAATTTTAGTTCTTAATTTCGTCGCATAATTAAAAACACAATAGATTAGGCGTTTAGTGGTGGAGTGAAAATTAGAAGAAAATCCAAAGCTGTCGCCTATGGTATTAGTGATGACAAGAACAGTTCATCCTATTCCTGAGCGACATTAGTTGCGAATGGGATTAACTATTGTTAACTTGGAAAGTTGTTTTTCAAGGAAGGAAATATGGACACGGAAACGTTCTGAATAACGAATAAACGAACGGAAAACTCGTAGCTAACGCCCACGAGAATGCCATCTGAATAGAATCTGTGATGTAGAAACTCATTGAATTTGTTTATTTATTTGAATTGATTGATTTGTCCACGGTGTGTCTCATTAGGTTTTGACAAACTATAAACTGAACTGGACTATTTATTTACTCTATGATATCTAATATCTATACAAAGAAAGAAAGAGAAAAAACAGATGTACCTGCTTTCCACGAGAGCCGTGCTTAACTAATACTAATTGTAAACCATAAAATATATCCTAAAATATCAGAAAATGTTACTGCAGCCCGCTTTATTAAAGACCCCGTAAACTAAGACTTGTTGACTAGATAAGTCTAGAATTTTACCGTTATTGTTATTCTAGCCCTTAATCAGTCTACGACAGAACATGAATTTGACAGATTGAACCAAATGAAATGAAGAAACCATCTTAGATATTCGAATCATAACATCCGCGCGTCATTTGCCAGAAACTAGAAAGTTACATCATTTCTTTTAACTCTGATCACAATAGCTTGGATCTGAAATTTTGTGACTAATAGGGTTTAGGGTTTAAAATTCCATTTACGTACAATAATTCCTTCGGTTGTTTTGAACACGTAAACTGAAAATGATACATTTTGCTGACGTCAACGAAAATCGCCCATAGCTCTTGGTTCGAAAATAAATGCCTCAAATCGATTCCTAATGGCTTCAATAGTATAGTGAATACCAAGGAAACTTTGGTTTGTTTTTTGACAGGACGTGAATTAGCGTGTGGTTTTAATTTTCTTGTGTCCAATGGCTTCTTAGCTCTTCATGTTTGTACGAGACGTCCAAGTTCAAGTTCAGGCTTAGCTTGGTCGTCGAAAGGAAAAGAGGTGGCACTGACGTCATCATTCGTTAAATGAACCTCTTACAGCGACAATTGCTTTTCAAACTACTACATGACCTGGTCATTAACCTCAAATTCGCAAAATGCCTTCTGACACGCCATACTTTAAGCCTCTTGGAAATCCCCTTTTCGACAAGTGGCTGGTTGGTGTTGTTCGGGAAGTTCCTTTAGTTTCCCCTAAAGAAAGGTGGTAAATCCCCCCTATTTTTGTTTACTTCTGTGTTCTAATATTACATACTTTGTCAAACTTGCCAGAACTGGTTTTATTTTGTAGTAAAGTCTAGTAGCAAGCAGGGTAGCAAGTTAATGACATGCCCCCCAGAGGTCCTCACTCAATCCATGGGAGACGTTTCAAAGGTCATCTATATGTTGTTACTTCAATCTAGAAACTTCTGAACCATGGCTCTTAAAACTTTGATCATTAATCAGATATTTAGACAATACGATATCTGGTGTTTTTCTGCACGGATTTTTCTATCTTTAGCTCAATAAATCCTCTTGGAAAAAGTCAGAAATCTGTGTTTTACGAGATTTCTGAAGACGTTGAAAGGAATGTTTTCATCATTTCATGTATCTTGGTATGTCTTCGTCGTTATCGGTACACCATCATGGCGTCAAATCTCATCTGATTACTTTAACCTTACCTAATATCTACATCGTTCTAACAATACAGTCATTTCATTCACACTAATCGTTTATGTATGTCGAGCTGCGTAACCTAAAGATTACTTAATTACAAACTACAGCGTAGCGCCCGTTATTGAGAACTGTTTTGACGTTTGATTGCATAACGTTCTTATTCTGGGCCCTGGTTACGAACCCTGGATAGCGCTATCCGACAGATAAATCTCGTTCAGTGAATAAATTTATTGGATAACAGCATCGACTTATACACTGGATAAGGATTTATCCACCGGATAGCGCTATCCACTCTTCGTATATTTAAAAAAATGTAAAGGGCGTTGTAAAAGAATTTACTAAGAAATAACAAGTTAGCCGATTTTAGGCTTAACAAGAAACCGATTTTTTAACCCTTCCAACAATTCTTTCACTTTCTGTAGTAGACTTAAATCAATGCACATTTGGGAAAGGGGTTCTGAAGATTTTCCTGCACGTTTCGTATTTCAAGCAGGTGAATAAATTCAGCACATATCTAGTGATGATACTACTATTGTTCTCAGCAATCCAGTCTATAATCTCATTAGTAATTAGAATGCTAGATAATACATTAGTAATGCTGTTTATTTTTAGACCTTGTGTTGCTCTTCAGTTACAGATTTCATTTTCTCTCTGCAATGCTATCGCGGGTCCGAGCCACTGGCAAAGCAGTTAGTCTTCATTTTAGTGCCTTAGTAAGGACTCCGGACCGTACCTATTGGATATCGGTCAGGTATAACTGTTTTTCAGTCTTGCTAGGACAAACCTATTTTCATTGAGAATGGTGGGCCTTCTACGCGCGGCAGCCATGTCGAATGGAACAATAGATTTTCCCACGCGTAGCCTCGCATTCAAGTCATTGAGAATAAATTCATGCGGGTTCAACAAAAAAATTTGGCTGACGCGTGAGTAAGGCTCATACCAATCTGGTCTCAATCACATCATTTCTTTTGCCTGCGAAAACCTGGTTTTCTATTGGCTCATAAAAGTATGGCGATGCAGATGCCATGGGCCAGTTGATCAGAGTCCAAAGTCATAGTCTAATTGAATGATCACTTACACTAATTAATTGAGGATTTTCATTGGTTAATCTTCTTTTCCCAAATTTGAATGAATAATCTAAGTTGGTGACGTCATCAAGTATCACGTTCCTTCAAGTGCGATGTCTTCATTCTATTGGTCAATAAGGTTTCTTCAGAACAATCAATTGGCTAGAATCCAAGGGCTAATCAAAATCACATCCATACGTGTACGTTCATGGGCCTTTAGTGAAATCTTCAGTCTCATTGGTCAATACGTTGTTTGAAAAAGATTCGTAACATGTTAAAACACAATCACGTGCGCAATCACGATATGGTCACGTATCTTCAGCAAACAGTCGTGTGCGCAATCACGTGTCTCATTACTAGCTGCACGAATAAAGCCGGGTAGTCTCCTACTTAGCCGCTATTAGTGTCGTCACGCAACGTTCACTCCCCGAAGTACTTAGAGGAGTGAGCGTTGCGTGACAACACGAATAGCAGCTGCGTAGGAGACCAGAAGAAAGGGCGATTATTTGACAAATCCGGCGAAACGGTCATCATACGTTATTAATTCCGCTGTCGGAAAGTCGAGGCCGAAACTCGGCATTTATAGTAACGCTCAGTTTTGAATTATAAAAGGTACGAAGTGCCGACTTCCTGATATCATTCAGTAATAAAAGCCGAAAATAAGATTATTAATAACGAAAACCCGCCTTCGGGAAAAACAGACGATGTCACTAACCACTGATAGAGTGTTCATTGTATCGGTAAACCAGGGAGTCATTAGTGAGAGTGGATTTTAGCTAATTCAAACCATATCTGTAATGTTTTACTGTCTATCTTGCGGTCACTGTAACCGGACCTGCATGAGTTGCCGACCAAAGGGCTTTATGATCGTAATGGTTTTTATCTGAATAAGAACGCTATAAAAAAGCAGTGCTATAAAGGTCCACTTTTGAACATTCTAGAGTAAACGGTGCCATTTAAGATCATTTATACACCGAATCGAAAATGACGACCAATTTGATTAACTATGACTTCAAATGCAACCAATAAAAAGGGCCATTTTGCTTTTACGCTTCCACGAAGGACTCACGTGCTAAACATCACTATATTTAAGAACGTTTTTACACGAGGATTAAGTTCTCTTTTTATTTCTCTATTGTATTCAACGCACCAACGCAGTATTAACCACTAGTCATTATCTATTCTTGATGCGTCGCCGGCGCCATTTTAGAAGTGATTTGATATCGTAAATAACTCAAATTCTCACTCATTAATCATGGTCCATTACTGTTCGACGGTGCTGTAGTTCTGTTGTCTGTAAGTTTTCTTCGTGGAAAGACATATCGCAGGCTATCACAAGAATCAGAGCCAAAATTAACCAATGCACCAAAAACTGTTCACAAAAGATTAAGTACAACAGGGGCTTTCAACATTATCCATTTTTCTCTTTCCTTTCCTTCGCCGGCTCCCTTCCTCCCTTCTTTTACCAGTTCCCAGTTCTCAGTTCTGCATAGCCGGCGGAGATCATTTTCTCCCACTTTGAGACGCAATTCATCCCTAAAACGTTTCCTCTCATCAACACTATTACATTTCTAGAAGTGGAGAGTGAGAGATAAAGCGCCCTGAGAGAAGTTGAATAAGGATATTAAGAAACTAATCCACTACTTTCTCATTTCAGATCACAGACTATTCCTTTGTTAACCAGCCGAACCATTGAAAAGTCTCCTTATTCATAGAAGGGAAAAGAGAATCTTATTCTCTGAAGAACAACGTGGTCTGATTTGGTAGAATGGTTTTCTTATGAGTTGGAAACGATACGGCGAAATCGTAGGCATTGATACTGAAGCCGTATCGTATCTTACTTAAGGGGAAGCCATTTCGATGTCACGGCATGTCATACCGTGTACGTACTGTAAGTCAGTACCGTGTGTTTCCCACTCATACGAAAACCATTTTTATGGGAAGCCATTTCAATGTTACGGCATGTCGTGCCGTGTACGTACTGTAAGTCAGTACCAAGTGTTTCCCACTCATAAGAAAACCATTCTTATGGGAAGCCACTTCATTGTAACGGAAGAACGGCATTTCGTACCGTGTACGTACTGTAAGTCAGTACCGTGTGTTTCCCACTCATACGAAAACCATTTTTATGGGAAGCCATTTCAATGTTACGGCATGTCGTGCCGTGTACGTGCTGTAAGTCAGTACCGGGTGTTTCCCACTCGTACGAAAACCATTCTTATGGGAAGCCAATTAAATGTTACGGCACATTGTACCGTGTACGTGCTGTAAGTCAGTACCGTGTGTTTCCCACTCATACGAAAACCATTTTTATTGGAAGCCATTTCAATGTTACGGCATGTCGTACCGTGTACGTGCTGTAAAGTCAGTACCGTGTGTTTCCCACTCGTACGAAAACCATTTTTATTGGAAGCCATTTCAATGTTACGGCACGTCGTGCCGTGTACGCGGTGCTTTAACAGTACCGGGTGTTTTCCACTCGTACGAAAACCATTCTTATGAAAAGCCATTTCATTGTTACGGCATGTCGTACCGTGTACGTGATGTCAGTACTGTGTGTTTCCCAATTTTAACCGTTTTTAAGGGAAGCCATTTCGATGTTACGGCATATCGTATTGTGTACGTGCTGTAAATCAGTACCGTATGTCGTGCCCACTGAGCTCATACGATAACCATTCTTAAGGGAAGCCATTTCAATTTTACGGCATGTCGTATCGGCGGTGTACGTTCTCAGTTTAAAGTTTCCCACTTATAAAAACCTCTGGAAAAAAATACGCCCAAGAGGATCGATAGGATCCATGCAATGTCGGCTTGATAATAGCTTTGGTAATTAGTCGCGTGCAAGAGACTAGGTCATGCACCTTCTATGATGTGATTAATAGTCGATGATGTGGGAAGATTAAAAAGATTTCGTCGCGAGAACTTCTCCTTTTCATAAACCCAGACAGCATCAATAATAAACTTCGTCTGATATCCATTGAGTAGAAATGTGATACCATTTCTGTTGAACCTAGAAAATATATCTGACGAAGGGGTTTAGGTACGATTTCACGCTCTACCAAGCTCGATATAGACTAATCTTTGTATCTTCGAGTCAAAAACAACTTAATTTGAAAAAACACTTAGTCCAGCTGTAAATTCCCCGACATATAGAAAACGATAAACGCAGGACTTATCTGGCTCTTATCTATATACATATATAACAATTCGCTTTTTTGGCAAATGCTACGACTTTTTGAGACTTGCCTTGACATGTTTTCTATTGTGACAGCGTTGCTATACGAAAACTCTTATCTGTGTCCCTATACCAGAAAGTAACCTATTAAGCAAGGTCATGAGAATATTGACAAAATCTTGGGTCGTACAAAACTAATCTCATTGATTTTAGTAGTGATATTGTCAGTAAGAGTGACTTGAATCGACAGGTTTTCATCTTAAAACCGCTAACCTTCATGTCAAAATCCTTTACGTTGACAAGCTTTCAATCGTTTTTAATATTATCCACGCTATAATCTGTCAAACACTGATGACCTGGAAAAGAAACTTTAACACAAGGGTCTTCATTGAGCTCGTTTTTCTGGTATAGTAAGATGGATAACCAGAACGTTGTGATTAATTTAATAAATTCAACAAAAGCGTGACGTCCAGAAGTTAATTGAATTTTCTATCCCTCGGGGTGTTTAATATCAAGTCTGTCTTCTTATGCGTTGAAGATCGCTTGATTATCAATGATTAGGAGCTAATGAGTCTCCAAGCTCGCGCCATCGTTCTTTGCTAGCAACGGCTCCGTCTTTAAAAAACGCGCGCGTTTCGTTTGAGTGAAAATGCGCGCGCGCGTTTGATGAAGGTGAATTCGAAGGGGAATTTCCCGTATGGCGGGAAAAAGTGCACGGGGCGAAATTTAATCTGGATTTTTGTTTAAAAGTTGAGATAATTTGACAGAAGGCAGCTTTAATTTCATATCCATAAACATGATAAGGAAACTGATTCAAAGTCTGATGGATTCGGATAGCAAGACGCCCCATTGGTGTTCACTGGGATGCCTGTATCATGCACAGGGACCTAGTACAGCTGAAGAAGTTAACAATGTTAGTCAAAAGATAATGGGACGGTTTCGTTCAACTCGTCTAAGACGATTTTCTCCCTTTCCCTACATAATATTAAAATAATTGCAGGTTCTGCCCTTTTGTAAGCTATAAAATAAACAGTTCTGCGTTTTGCATGTCACACTACTTGTTGCGCCATGACGCACAACATCAAATATCCCAGCTTTCTCAGTCAGAATCATCAATTAATTTTCTTATCTTTAAAACATTCTTCGTTTTTATATTATTTACTGGGAAGGCTGTTTATTTTCCTTGTCAGGAAATGAAGAAATTACGCAGCAGTACCCAGAAGTCTTCACGGCAACACCCACTAGTCCTTTGCGGGCATATGATATAGAGATCAAAGTGCAGTGAATGTTCTTGACAGTAAACTTTGCCAGGAAAGATAGGAAACCTTGCTTATATGACTGATAACGTCTGATCGAATTTATACAAGGTTATACATCGAATTGAATTATGGCGATCAATTTGAATAACTATTGTTCTGGACTGACTAGCGACTGACTAGCCTCTCATACATGTGGAAATGCTTTTATGTTTCCACGTGAACACGAGGCTAGTCAGTCGCTTGTCAGTGCAGAACAATAGTTATTCAAATTGGTCGCCATATTTCGATTCGGTGTATAAGCAACAGACTAGGATTAATTCTTTTTTCGTTAAAAATATCATCTTTTCTCAGATTTAAATCTAATAAAAAATGAATTTTAAAAGAAAAAAATCTTATTTGGATAAGATGGGATTCGAACCCACCGAAAAAAAAAATTCTAAAAATACGACTCAACTTTGCCATACCCCCGAGACATCCGCAGAGCTGAGGCGGCGTATGGACTTCGGACCTGACGGCGATTAAATCCTTCTGCCCTTGGGTGTACGAATTACGCAAGAAAATGTTCTAGCCGAAGCATCAGGGGAGAGACCAGCCGGCCCCCAGACCATATCGGCTAATCCCTTGCATCTCGCCACGCACGTAATCAGTTAAATTATAATGTTAAAAAGTCTAGTCTATTTGGTGCATTGTTTTCACAGCTATTGTTATGCTGATTCACCTGGAACCGTAGTCCAGTGGATAAATCGTGGTCGTTCAAGACACTGAGTCAAGCTCGACTGAGGAGTGTTGCACTTGGATGGGTGACCTAAACATTATACCTACTCACGCTTTTGATCCTTTTTTTTTTTTTCTTTTCTTTTTTAAAAATTAGAATAAAGAATAGCAAACCTCTTTCTATTTTTGAGCATCCTATTAATGTCAACACAAATCCGTCAAATTGAGATCTAGTATAGGATACACTTATTTCAATAAAGTTAGTCAGCAAAAACCTACTGTAACCGGTAAAAGATTCGCAAGTCCATGAACAGTTATCAAGCGGTTAAACGTGTAAAATGAATCTACCCATAATCCTAGTCGGCCTCAGCTTTATAGTTTTTCAGGTGACTAACTTTATTGAAATAAGTATATATAATCCCTGACAAAAAAAAAAAAAAAAAGAGAGAGAAACTGCCGGTCCTTAGGTATTTTCATATAGGAGAGTCAGCCGGAGAATAAATGGCCGGCAGTTCCATTTATCTTTAAAAATCTCAAGTAAAAATCTGGCAAGTCAAATGACTTAAATCAAAAGGTGAAGGCAATCTACCTCGGGGAGTTGAAAGTCACCAACTTTATTGATTAAACATGGTATTTGTTGACTCACGGGAAGATTTGAAGCCTTATTTTCCTACTTTAAGTTAGAGTTATTAATCTTAAACTCTTTTTGTATAGCATACTGAGAAGCTAAATTAAAGATTTGAGTAGACGAATAAAAGAAAGATCTTTTCACGGCATCTTGAACTTTCTTGTTCAGTTTATACACCCGAGTAATTCCTACAGCTACGGACACACGGTGCAACATTGCGCACAATGTTGCATGCAACTGATGTTGCGAGCCATGACACACGACGCAATTTGTTGCAAGTTCGTTGCTGAAATAAAAAACTATCCTACTTCAGCAACATTGCGCGCAACGTTGCACCATGTGTCGTGCCTTTAATCCTGCACTGAGCCTTAGATTTCAGCGCAGTCCCACCCCCAATCAATCACTTTGATAAATTAGACATTGATTGGCACTTGAATATAAATCAGACTTTACAAGGGATCTCTTTATCATATGTCCGCAAAAGATTCTTGGTTAGTGCCTTGAAGATCCCTGGGTACTATTGCGCAGTTTTGGCATTTTCTGACGCAGGAAAATGCGGAGACACGCAACGCATTTTGAGACTGGGCCGCCACAGGCAAACCAGTAATTATTATAGGAATTCAGATAATTATTTGACGACTAGAAATGATCGGAAAACGTGCGCGTGGTCCGGACAAAACAGGCTCCTTACGGACCGAACCCGACATTTATAGGAGGGGAGGGGGAGGGAGGGCTTTGTGCATTTTCCTTTGCTCGACATGGTTTCCGATGTCTCTGCATGAAAATAATGTGACCCCAATGATGCGTGCATCGAAAAAAACAGCCCGAAATGCACTGTACTGCAGTGGTAACTTGAACACGTTTTCCCCTCGACCCTAGAATGGCTAATGCGGTTTCAGTCATTCTCAAACCTAAGATGACCTGAGACCAAAATGCTCTGCCTTAAAACAAACCGTGCCGTGCTTTTCCATTCTTTCTGTCGTCTTCTGTGGCCACTACGGTCGATCCGCGCCTTACCAGTTCTAAACTGGACACCCCACTATGACTAGAACTTGTCCGTTTTATTCCAGTGATGTGCATTCCACCTTGAAAATGCAAAAATACTCTGCCTGCCTCAAAGAAAAAATTGGGCTCCCTGTGTCGGAACTAGTCCTTGGGTTCCCTGTGTAATTTTACCCATCGATGAGTGCGGGGTTGGTTGGTATTTCAAGGCAGGTCTGTTGGTTTGTAAGGCGGTTCATATTTGTAGTTCGTCCTTCAGTTTAAATTGCCTTTTCTCTTCACATAAGACGCCGATCATGCCTTCTTTCAACAAAAACCCTAACATCAACATCCTCAAAGAGCCTCGTGGCTTCATAAAAATCATTGAAGTGGTGAGTATGACTTTACTAGGATTTGGCGCCGACGAAAGATCTTCAATCAATGAACACTGAATAAAAAGTCAAATATCTCAACTCTTCCACACAGAAAGCTGCTTTTATCATTTATCCTGCCTAAATTACTATCTGCTTTTATTCAACTCCATTCTGTTTTGAATATTTATTTTAATATACGACTAACGTGCGGACAGGGCTGAACATTAATATACCTAATGATCAGTCCCATACTTATTCTGACGTCATTTATAGTGCCTCATAACCCTCAATATAAATTATTGATTATGATAGCGATGATCAAACCTTTATTTTTTAAGATTATTACTGGATAGTACATGGACACAAGAGTGCATACCATATAATCTGCAAAAAATTAACTAACAAAATTGTACAATCAGTGCAAAGGATTGTACGTCTATAGTTTACTGAAATTAAGCTTACTAATTCGTGCAAATTTTTGCAATTTCTTTCAAGGTTTTTCACGGATATACGGTATGCACTCTAATAAAGTGGAGTACTAACACTGAATAGTGCTAAATTATACTAATTATATTGTTTTTGTTTAATTAATGCTATTAGTACTAAATAGTGCAAAGTATTTCACGATTTTAGTGTTCGTACTTTATGCTTATTCTAACACTGTAACAATGCAAAAATCTCTTTTTCTCTTTTATGAATAACATCAGTTTTGAGATGTGGTAGGGTGCTTATAGTGAAACTACCTCGAGCGTGAACACGTAGAGGTCATTAATGACTTTATTTTTGGATTCTTGATTTCATTATTCGATTCGAAAATTTATTAATGAAAAATTTGATTAACTTGGCTTGTAGGCTCTTGTTTATAGTGCAAACAGAAGGTAAGTCATTTATATTACAGATTCATTTTCATTAATAAATCTTCAAATCGAATCATGAAATCAAGAATCCAAAAATGAAGTCATTCATGACCTCTACATGTTCACGCTTGAGGTAGTTTGACTGTAAGATGTTGCAAATGTGTACAACAAACATATGAGGAAAACTATATATCAAATACTGAACGAACCTCTGGACTGATCTTATAGTCAGGGCACAGCTGACAGATGGAATATTAGAATTTAGTACTAGGTTCTGTTTTTTTATTGAGAGAAAAACCAAAGAAACTGGAGCACAACCCTTGAACTGCCATGGTAATATAATCCAAGGAATGGAACCCTAAACCCTAGGGTGTGAGGGGCAACAGCAGACCATGGTAAAAATTTTTTTTTTTCCATTTGTTTGCAGGCCATTGCTATTTTTGCCTTCTCGACAACTGTTGGTTATCATGGACACTTTGACTTTTCCATTTCATGTAATAAAACAGTCGCAGTTCACACCGGTGCTGACTTTTCGTACAGTTTTAATGAAATCAGCTACTACTTCAGTGACAATATTAAGCTTCCAGTGTGTAAAAATGTTTCATCATTGGATGTCCGCACTCTGCCCTTAAATTACAAGTCTGAATCGGAGTATTTTGTGTTTGTTGGGGTGACCTGTTTCCTTTACGCCATTGGCGCAACGCTGTACTACATGTTTGTTGAAAATCAAGATCATGATGCTGCTTCAACTGATATTGGGATCTGTAACTTCGTGATTGTGGTAAGAAAAAAATAAGTACATTTAACATGACAATCACCAATGGTGGATCCAGGATTTTTCAAAGGGAGATTCTGTTTCTTAAACTGTGTATACTTCTCTTTTTTTTAGTCGATGTTTGACAAAAAAATTGGCTCTAATCACCTAATTTACTATCTAGTAACAGTAAATTAAACATTATAACAGCAAATATCTATCATTTGGTGCAACATTATCTTTGTGGATACTTTTAAGCAAAATTTATATAAGACATATTTCTATTACCTAAAAGATCAAACCTTCAAGGGGGGTTCCATGGACCCCTTCGACCCCCTCTGGATCTGCCACTGAACACTTCCCTAAAAGTTCAGCTGTTTACATGGGTGATTTTTGTAGTTATTTGAGGTGCAATTTTTACAGTGATTTTTGAAAATACAATAAACTTGTCTTGTGATTTAAAAGAGACATTTATCCAGGTAATCTTGGTGTCTGGAATAACTTTACAAGTTACCATTTTTGACTATGACCAAAATTCCACCTCAAAAAGGCCTTCAGAATAATACTGTATTTACTCAAATACTGAGCCCTTAATAGTTGCCATTTCACAGGATCAAGATAAATAGTGGTAAACACTCAGAGAGTTTATTCAAGGTCCAGGCACTTATAGACTGTTAACAGTCCCCCTTTTCTCTCCAATCCCAGTGGAGTCCCGTTTCCCCCTGCTGGATGTGTGGGGATTGGGGGTGAGTTTAAGGCAACATGCCTCCTTGGCTCCAATCTCCCCACGTCCACAGGAATCCTACAAGTCTGTATTCTAAAAACTTGTCTTTACTGGGTCTGGAGGGAATGTGGGATGTCATGAACACTGGTACGATTAATCACTAGAGTCTCATCTCATGTAGACATTTATTACCAGCCTATTTGAAGTCTTGTTATTCATGCCTAAAAACACCTTGGTCCGGTCTACAACAGATAGATAGATATGTACGTAGATCGCGCTCATTCAGTGGATAAATCTATTTGATAACAGCATTGCCTTATCCACTTGATAAGGATCTACACTGTATCCTTGGGATAGCGCCATCCAGGCTTCGTACAACCAGGCCTTTTACTTTTATCATCTTACCCAATAGGCAATTTTTCAACTTCTTCCATTTTGTGTTATTTTTTTCCAGGATTTTGTTATCACTGTGGTGTATGTCATTTTCTGGTTTACTGCATCAATTGCTTGGGCCGCTGGGTTAGATGGTCTTAAGGATGCTACCAGTTCCGGTAAAACTTCCCTTCAATATCCTGCCTGTAGAAGCTATAATTGTAATCCTTCAACAGGTTCCACGTATGGAGCTCTTAATGTGTCCGTGGTGAGTAAAACAGAAAATATCCCCTTCTCCCTTGCAAAAATCATGCAGCTATTTCAGAAAATGTTGGTGAAAGCTTCATTTCATGTGGCATACCAAGTCCAAATTGTACTATGGCTGACGATGTGAATACAATAAGCAAAAGGTCACAACAATATGGAATTTTCCCAATCTTTATCCATACATTTTCCCCCTGCAATAGTTTCTTCTGTGCTGATATTTTATTTACATATGAATAAAATGCATTTCAAGCTTAGTAAGCAACTTTAACATGTAACATGCCACAAAACCTTCATCAAATTGTTTTGAAATACAGTACAGCCGAGATGTATGACACGGTAGCGTGCGTGTCACACAGGTGTACTCCGTTAATGGAGTACACTCATACAAGTGTAGACTGTCCATCCACGTGTAGTACACTCTAAAAACTCAGCAAAATTACACCCAGCCCAATAGCTCTTTAACTTCAGTCTGATTCCCGAGAGATTTGTAATGTATTTGTTGATCGCTGAATAGGTGATAACACCTTCATCAACCTCTTTTGAAATACAGCTTGTAGCTGTATATAGAAATATGTAGAGTGATATCTATAAGGCAGATCCATTATTAGGCAGACCACTTATTACGTGGATACCCTTTCATTGAAGGAACAGCTAGTTGCATGGTCTCAATCCATCTTTACTAAAATAAATATCTATTCAGTAAACACCTTGCGGAAACCAGAAAAGGCCCCAAAGGTGTCGGCTTAATAGAGGATTGCGGTCCCAAAATTTCACCACACATTTTGACTCACCTTGACAAATGGTCCCAATGTTTAGCGAACATTTTTAAATAACATCTTCAAGGGGGGTCAAGGTGGCTGATCCAAGTGGGAGGGGATAACACACAGATCAAATTGAAATTTTATCTTGATAGTATTTGCAGAGGGAGGAAAAACAGTAGAATCGAGGGAGAAACCAAAAAAACATTGCTCACATTTGTTATTGGATCCAGGAATGAAACCTGAGAGCCAGATGTCAGAGGCAAGGACTATAATATGTATTTTTTTTTACTTTTATCTTTTTTTAGGTTCTTGGATTCCTGAATTTCCTTGTTTGGTGCTTCAACATTTGGTTCTTGTTCAAGGAAACTCCCTGGCACAGCCCACGCAATCCCACCAACATACCAGGCAATGATCCAGATGCCGTCACCCAGGAGACACCTCCAGCATCTTCCATCTAAGTAATCATGTAAGTGACAAGCAAAAAGAAAATCTTCCTTGTTTTATGAAGGTAACACTTAGCACTCTTTTCACTGCTACGCGCTGATCGAGACAACAGGGAAATAGGGCAACGCACTGCTGCCAGCCAGAGAATATAAAGGTACCGACTGATTTATTTGATTGACGGTAGTGTATTGGCCAATTTCCCTATTGCGACTGTTGTCCCAATCAGCATGTACTGTAGCAATGAAAAGAGTGGTAATAGCCAGTGGCTGCTCCATGATTGAATTGGAATTTAAGAGTTGATTCTTGTGGAGGGAGGAAAACCAGAGAACCAAGAGAAAAAGCACAGGAGAGAACCAACTAGACCAACCAACTCTACTCATATACAATAGTACTGAATGATATATTAAAATTAAATTGAAATTAAAGTTATTATAACAGTCGTCCAATTACTTCTGGGGTCTCAGGTTAGAATCCTGTGCTTAGCATTGTATTTGAGTAGAGTTTGTTCTTCACTTGATGGTCTTGATTTAAGTTTTTTTTTTCCAAGTTCTCTCATTTTCTCTCTCCACAAAACCTTACATGCATAACAATATGATCAGCAAGTTATATGTGTATTAGCCGTGTCCTGACTGGATCAGCAAAAAGGTTGTTTTAAGATTCAATAAAAATTTAAGGTTTGTGCTGAAGTATTTCAAATTCTATCAAATTTCAGATCTTGTGTTTTGATGGAAACTCAATTGGTATGTTGTGTCAAATGAGCTCAAAGTATGTTAGTAACATTTATCAATATATAAGGTCAAAAAGTGTATCAAATGGTTAGTATATGTTAATGTAAAACATGAACATGTTAAGTTACTGGCTCTATCTGAAGGTTGTAGTGTGGACCCTACAGTTGCAACAATAATTCTTTTTAAGTTGCCTGGATGGAAGTATTCTATTTGATTATAATGGTTTTGTGTTTGATTCTGACCTACTGTAAATGTTGCATCAGTCTTTTTGGACAATCAGCAATCAATCAGAATAGATTTTGTAAAACTGTGAAAGCACACAGTTGACCACACATTAGGTGCTGTAGCTTATATTTTTGTTATTTCAATCTATCAACAATGTGCAACTTCAGGGTCATCAACCAAAAAAGTAAATGCTTTTTACAGCAATTTACAACATTAAATAAACTCTGAAGTTTTCAGCCAACTACTCGTTTTTGGTTTTTCACTGCCACCAATCCAAAATGACTAATTATTTTGATTGCATGCAGTGAAAAAGCGAGTTTTATAGGGTACTGAGCTTATGTAACATCGGCCGAGAACTGCTATCAATATTAACAAATAACTAGTAAAGAGGTTTTGTGTGATCACATGACAGCCGCCATGTTGGATGGCATTCAGGAACCATGGATCTTTCTCGTGCGGCAGCCATGTTGAAGGGAGCAATAAATGTTTCTCTGCATAGCCTCGCATTCAAGTGTGTCAAGATGAGGTTCTGCAGGTTCAAACCAGGGTTTTTATTCTCATGAAAATAAACATGGTGCCGTGTGATCAATATTCAATACATTGTTTTGGTGTAAAGATAATGTACTCATTTCAATAAAGTTAGTTACCTGAAGAGCTATAATGTGGAGACCGGCAAGGATTATAAGTAGATACTTTTTACTGGTTTGTACCACTTGATAACTATTGATGGACTTGAGATCTTTCATAGTTACTGTTTCATCTCCTTTGAGCATCTTCGAGCTGCCACTCGTATCAAAAGCTGTACTCATTTGATATGAAATGTCTTTACCCAGGACAATACTCGCCAGTCTCAGCTTTGTAGTTTTTTAGCGATTAGCTATATCTCATAAAGCATATACACCTATTTCAAAAAACGTTGTCAGTCAGAGATCTGGAATCTGTAATCTGATACCAAGTAACATGCTGCAAGTCATATATATTTGCAACCAAACAATGTAGTTTCCTTTTAGATTGGAATATGAAGCATGACTTTTGCGTTAGAAATGTGATATTTCGTATTTTAGCCAAAATATCTATAAGCACATCACACAAATACTGTGTAGTCTCAGATTACCCATTCCAGATCTCCAACTGACAACATAAAATAAAATAATGTTGAACACTGTTGAGGAAAAAGATACTCTAGTTTAACTCCAATGTCTGTAAAGTTTATTATCGTTTTCCTATACAATGTTCAAGAATCATTCGTCACTTTAGTAATGTTCTTTTAATTCAAAAGTTAATGTTGGCATAATCGCGATAAATATATCATATTCAAATATTGTTGAAGTGTGAATTTTTTGAAAAAGATAGCGTGGAAAACACTGTAAACCTAACCAAACTAAGTATTAGTTAATAAGAATTTCACGCTTATTGTTAAACCCTTTCCAGGTTCTTTAATGTTAGATTGATTTTTGATGAATTGACCTCTTTAGCTTGTGTGTAATGTTCTTCCATTTCAAACCACGTGTCATTCCCTAGAGTATCATTTCTTTGTTTAACGGTTGCGCACGAGAAGAAACAAATATGGATACAACTCAAACCAAAACATCTTCTCTCAAGGGAATGAAACTTGGTCTGAAATGGAAAAACAGTACTCCCTTGCTAAAGTAGTCCATTTGAGCTGAAATCCTGGAGCTGAAAATGCTGAGAGAAAAGAATTTTAGTTTGCTTGACAAACTGTAGCATTCAAAGAGTTTAACTAGTTTCGTTCCAGGAATTGGGTTTGTTTTCTTTCGTTTTCAGCCAAGTATTATCTTCGTAGCACTGGATTAGTGTTTATGTTGATGTAATGTCCTGCTTCGTGTCATTTTATCTGAAACTTCTCGGAAGTTTCGGGTAAGATTTTAAAATTGCATCGTAAGCAGATTTTGCATGAGAAGGCAGATCACAGTAGAACAAAGAAAAAATAAGGGAAGATTGTTTTCGCTTTCATCATAATGAGCATTTATCGTGTCAACAACAACTACTACATAAATGTCACCAACTGTTAGCTGAAGATGGCGTTGAGTGATGATAATGGTAACGATGATGAGTGTGATCATGATGATGGTGATAGTGAAGTTGATGGTGATGATAGTGGTGATGATGATAACGGTTGTTATCGCGTCTGATACCCCTACTAATATAAATCCAATCCTAGTGATGCCAACTTCTCAACAACTCGTTAATCAACCTGTAGCATAAACTTTATATATTATTTAAGGGTATGTTAACTTTTCTAGGAGTAAATAAAGTGCAGTTTTTAGGTTTGATCTCTGTTTGTTTGTTCGTTTGTTTACTTGCCTGCCTGCCTGCCTGCTCTCTTCAACGATTAGTACTGGTAAAGAAAATATCAATGCTAAAGAGAATGATTGCGTGGTTTAACATTTAGCATACATTTCGATGCGCGCTCACCAAAGCAACCATTGGCGAACCTTAAATAGATCTTAGATAGATCTTTCCCGAATTCGTTAGAAAGACAACGAAACGTTGGTTTAAAGTCGAGACTGAACCTTTATTCACCAAGGCCAACCTCGACTTTAAACCCTTTTTTCGTGGTCTTTCTAGCGAATTCGGGAAAGGTCTATTGCCTGCAATTTTGTTTCTGTGACTGTAATTGGATGGTTTGCGTTTTCGGACGTTTTTATTGGTGCACATGAGAACGAGGCACAGTGGTTTCTCTCCCGTACGCGCGCTGTTTCAACGGACGTCATAATCATTAAGTGTGACGTCACAATCAAGCGTGGAATGGTAATTACGAAAAGAACGATTCCAAAGTAGGTGCATTTTTTTTACTTTTAAAGTTCATTCACTGAGCCACAACCAGTCGTTTAGCTGGAGTTTATGACGATTAACGAAAATCCCTGTTTGATAGATAAATGACTGCATGTTTTTATCTCATTACAGAACACGGAAACCGAGGCATCATCTTCCTGCGATTCAGTACCTTCCTTCCTGTTACCTTTTAAATAGAATACCAAAAGACAAGGTTAGGAAAAATACCTCCGAATTCAATTTTTATCGAACCCTGAAATTACCTCTGTCCTGAATAATCTCTAAGAACAACCGAATTGGAATTTGAATGTTACAGTTTTTGCGGAGGGAGGAAACCGGAGAACCCGGAGAAAAGCCTTCCCTCAGAAAGATCGGCTCCGAGGAATCCTCAATTCCAATTTGTCCTCGTTCCTTCTCGTGACTGAATCAAATTTTGTCAGCTGTAATCGTTTAACATGACCTATTCGTTTGTTTGTTATGGTAAAAAATTTAAACCTTTTTGTGTGTGTGTGTGTGTTCTGTGAATAATTTTATGCCTCATCTAACACCAAGAAAAGGCTTTAACTACCAAAATTGGTTTTGATCAAATGTCATTAAACATAAATATGATATAGTTGCCCACTTAATTGAAATAAAGTTTATTGATGTTCGTTAATATAAATCCAAAGTTTTATATTTTCTAGTGATTTTATAGCTAGTTGTGGGAGTATATCTTGATATACAAAGAATTAATTACAGTCTCGGGGTCCCTGTGTTTAGACACGTTGCCATGGCTACATTGTTCCAAAATGGCGTCCCTTAGTTTAGGGTTGTTCTGGAGTGCGTTCTAAAATAACGTTTTTCTACAATAAAATGGAAATGTTAGAATACTGCAAGACTTATAACATAATGAAATCAAGCTTTCCTAACCCAGGGTCTTCTGAATTGTCATTACAGGACGCTGTTCTCTCCGAAAATAATGGTCAAGTTCAAGACCACGAGAGGAATGTTGTTGTGGAAACATTACATCGAATCCCGTCAAGACCTGGAGATTTTTCACTTTATCATTCAATAAAACACTCAAGCAACAATTCCAGTGAATCAGGAAAGCAGCTTAGTCCTTTAAGAGAAATTTCCCGGAGTAAAACAATGGCTTCGACTGTAAAAACACAGGCTCCACGGGAGGCACTCAGCTTCGAATCCGAGTTGACATTTGCACCAAAGTTGAACGCTTTGAGCATAAAACTTGCAAAAATACGAGGAGAAAAAAGAAGAAATTCTGAAGTCAACCGTAAGTCTTCTAGCATTACTACTACAGATGAAGCTATATTTACATTCAAGCCAAAAGTGAGCTCAAATAGTGTAAAAATTGTGCAGAATTTGAAGACAACTTTTTTGGATCGTCAGCTGATTCACATGAAGAAACAAAGACGTCATGTAAGTGTGAAACAATCTTGACATTAAATATTTAATATTTATTCATTATCGTTTTAGATGGTTTTTTAATTCTTTCTATTGAAAGTTAAAACTACAGGACTTTACAATTTTTAACGCGATCGGTACGAGAAAAGCAATTCTGGTCGCTAACCCGCCCAGGGGTCGCTAACATAAACAAATCATAAAACATGAAATCCTTCAATACAAAAGATTCCAATAAAGATTAATCGCGATTGGAATAATTATAATTAACTCCAAAATGTAAGAATTTTACAGTATAATATTGGCAATTAGATATTTATATTTGCTTCATCTTTGTACAAATATGTATTTTGGTGATGTATATCTAGCTCCTTTAAACTTGTATCAATGACTGGTGCATTGTTCTTTAAGTAAACATTCTTATGATAATTTAATTCTAAGATGAAAAATATCATTTGTTTTTGTTGAAATGCTAAGTGCGATGGCATTGTATAATTCAATGTGAATGAATATTTTTAAATCTGTGAACGTTGTATCACGCTAAGCTTTATATTACCAAGTTTTTGTACATAAATGTACTGATTATACCCCTTGCTTTGGTATAAAATATATCTTTTATATTAACATATGTAAAAGTTCGACAACTATATAACGTGGTAGTTAGAAGTAATTAGGAAAGAAGCCACATAGCTCTTTAGTAATGAAATATTTTCACCCTTTTTACTTACTTTTTGCATTATTTTTTTTATTCGATAAAATACCAATAGATGAAGTGGAGGGAAATGATAATAATTTGGAAATGAAAATGAAATTTTTAAATATCATTTAAAGCAAAACAAAAGAAAGGAAGATTGGATGAATGAATAAATGAAAAAGAAAGAATAAATGAATGAAAAAAAATACTATAATTTCCAAAAAAAAATTCTGAAAAATTCTGTACTGCCTTTCCGAAGTCTCATGCCAACATGCTAAACATCTTTAACATGGAAATATATTCAAAAAATTTTGTATATTAATAATTAAAGAAATTATATACTTTCCTAAAGCTTTGATTGGCTTATCAAAAAAAAAAATCTAACATGTTTTTTAGTTAGTATCATTTCTCAGTGTCATCTTAAACAAACATAAACTCTGCTGTTAAAATAATCATAGTAAAATAGTATTCTTTTAATAATTTCTTATAATTTTGGCTTTGAGAACTTCAGTCCATAAGGTGAATGGTACAACGTACTTCAAATGATGATGATCATAAGCAGCAAACTTCAAAGAAATAGAAATTTAGCAATTATTTATCCCAGTGAGTGTATGTTTATGATATCTATTCTCATATCCAAGCTTTGAGCTTTTCAAAATTTCACTCAAGAGGTATGTACATAGAATTAGTATTACGATTAATTTTTGATATATCTTATTTGTGACGTATATCAGGTTGATAAAGACGAAACTAGTTTCCATAAAGAATTTTGATTTTTAATGCATATGATATTATTTCAAAGGTTTAGAACTTTATATCATGGAAAAGGGGAAAAAAGGCATTTAAATTATCATTGATTTTTTGAACAAATTTTAGAATTTAAAAATAATTTGAAGGCTTGTACAATTTAAAATAACAAAGTATATACAGTTAAAACATGAACATATATGAAAGACAATAAAATTATGTGCCTTAATATCTATAATTTTTGGTTATATTTAAAATAAAATTTAAAGTATGAAATACCTTTGATGGAGAGTGATTCCATTAATGTTAAATAACATGGCAAAAATGTTGAATTCATGGAAATTTCAAATGCCAAGGATATAAATTCATTGCATAAATTTTCCTTGCATGAATCTCATTTTCAAGACCTCAATATAACTCTCTATATATATTATATCATTATATACCTTATAATATATATATTTAATACCACTGTTTTGACGATTTTTCCTTTTTTTCTCCTTTATCCCACTTTTTCCATTTCATTGATCATACAATTATTGCTAATTATACTATCTACTGAAGTATTTACAGGATTTTGTGCATATTTCCAATAATATTTTAACCATTATTTTATCTAAATGTCCAGGAGTATAATTCCATGCTTTGCTACAATTTTCGAGATTGAAATTCGACTGAGAAAATGCAACTGAGGACGATTTTGTATCTGATTTTACAGAATTCTTATGTGTGATGATTTCTGTTGTGTTGTTCCTTGTTAATTATTTATAATTAATGTTTCCTTATCATGCAATTCTCTGCCTTCATGTTTATTCTACATTATATGAATTTTCTTCACCATTTTAAGCCTTGGCATTAGCACTTCTGTGCAGAGTATTCATCTTTTTTGTGGGGAGTGGGTGGCTGTCAAATTTAAGGGGGTCATTAAAAAAATTGCACAGCATATTTTTAACAAACAGGAAGAAAAAGAATGGAAGGGTCATTTTTTATGCAACGATGGAGAAGGGTGTCATTTCTGGTATGGGTTAGCAAGTGAATACTACCCCCCCCCCCCCCTTCCCTGATGAACAAAGAATGTTCCCTTAATTAACTGTTTTTTCCAACTGAATTTCCACCCATATTCTTAATGCAGGTTCATAAATATATCCTCATTTTATTGTATCTTTTGTTGATTTAAGATTGACAGTTTTATGCTCCCAATCCAAGGCAAGGCAAGACTCAGTCCAGTACAAATGAATAGATCAAGGACAATAAAGACCCAGAGATCAAAAGAATTTAGTAGTTCTGTTGAAGAGGTAAGGGACATTGTTGCCGAGAAATCAGAGAAAACCCTGATAGCGAGGGAGAGAACAACACATTAACAAATTCTGTTCACATGGAATTTAAAAGGCAGTGATGAAGATTTTTAAAAGCTGAATTTTATCGCTTTTCAGGAGAATGAAAATCATGATGTTGAACAAGATGATACGAATCAAAATGGTGAAATAATATCAACAACTAATGGTAGTAAACGTAGTGAAAATGCTGATGATGAAGAAGGAAGGAAGAAAGAGAATGAAAACGAGGAGGAATCCGAACACAATGAAAATGGAAGTGGAAACTTAAATGAATCAGAAAGAAAAGGAAATACTAATCGTACCAGTACAAAAACCACCAAAACAAAACAAGAAAGCTTAGAAAAAGTTAGTCGTTTTAAAGACGAAAGTCCTTATAATCAATCAGTTGAAAATTTGTCTTTAAAGAGACAAAAACGAGTTATTCGCGCGCATCAGCGCGGAGCTACTTATCCAGCGGGTACCAACAAGACTAGAGCAGAAAGCGAGGGCTGGAACAACAGTACGAAGGTAGAAGAACCTAGAAATCCAAGTACCAGTACTGCAATAACCAAGAAGAGTAATCATTCTCGAACCGCTTCACAACCGCAGTTCACGGGAAAGATGAAATACGATAACCCACTGTTTGAGAAAGTAAGACATGCGAAGGAAGTAGCGGAAAGTGCTATCAGGGTAAGCTAGTTTGATGTTTGCAGTATCTTTAAATAGAGCGGTTTTTGTATGAGTACAAAATGACATGGCAAATTCGCAGCCGTACTGTAGCCGTATATACGGTTACCGTAACCGTAACTACTCGTTGTAGTTGGATGGATTACTGGAAGATAATGGGAAGCCATTTCAATGTTACGGCATGTCGTATACCGTGTAGGTGCTGTAAGTCATTACCATGCGTTTCCCACTTTAACGATAACCTTTCTTATGGGAGGCCATTTCAGCGTTACAGCATATCGTACCGTGTACGTGCTATAAGTCCGTGCCGTATGTTTCCCATGCAATAAGAGAAAACCGCTCTTGCACGCGCGGAGTTTTGTAGCCGTCAATCAAGGCGTGTCCATGACATTTCACATGCCCTTCGAAAACCTATAGTTTTCCGATATTGTCGTGGAAACAATTTGATTGACGTCCACCAAAAAGCCCTATGTGTTGCGATGGCAAATTGTGCGCGCGTGTAATTGGGAACAAAACGAATAACTGATAGAGCTCACATGGGCTTGATAAGTAACACTCTCGCCCCTCCGAGCCCTGTAAATATTGGTGCGCAGTAAGAATTACTGGTATGTGGTGTCGAGAGTGAGACTGTAGCTCACCACTTGTTGATAATAAATACTGATTTTTTTCAATCCTCAGCCCCTAAGTGCTCTCCCCAAGCACAACTCCCGGGTGTTCTGCATTCCTTGTATTTATGTTACGTGATCTTATTTGAACGCACTTTTTTTGAAACAGAACAAGCGAGTATTTATCTGTCATGGTCCTTACCCAATAGTACGCGCAGCCTTGAGACGCCGAGGCTACGTGGAGAAGCACTACAGCCCTTTAATCAAAGCCAAGAAGGGGAAGAATAAGAACAACGAAAGTGACGATGATGATTCCTGTGATAGTGGTGATGATAGTGATGAAAACCCGTCACCTAATGGCTCTCCGCGAGGGAAAGAAAATAACTCTAAACCACTGGCTAGGACTAAAGCAAACGGGAACAAGAGGAATAGCAAGTCAAATGGAGGGAAGAAGGACGACGATGGAAGCAGTAGTGATGATAGTAGCTGTAGTGAAGATGATGATGACGATGATGATGATTCGGAGGATGAGGATTGGAAGGCTGGGTACGAGGGAGGTGGACCTAACAGTGAGTTTAATCTAATGGTGAGTGAATCCAATAGAGTTTTTAAGTTTTGACGTAATCTGTGTGCAGTCATAAAGCACGCGCGGGGTTGACAAAACACTAGAGAAGTGTTAGGAGAAGCACGACGCGGAGCGCAGTGAGCAAGTTTTTTATTTATTCTATAAAATACAAGAGCGCGTGGGTGCTGTGTGCTGTGTGTTCTCATAAAGCACGCGCTCCCAACCAATTACATTGAGATTTATAACAGTTATTTTACAATATATTTTGTACCCAATATACAATAATAATATTTTTTTCTGCCATTTAGTCAAGAATGGTTCGAAATGCTAATGCATCATTCATATGGACCATCAGACGAGACGATGTGGACTTCAAATTCTTAAGAAAGGTAATTTGAAAAAATATATTTTTATTTTCAATTACCCTCTGCGCAAAAACCAACTTTTAAGGCATACGTCATGTTTACTACTTTCTTTTAAACTCCAAAACATTTCGACGGATGTAGGATTCGAGTTTCCATGGTTACACCTCTGGTAACGCCCTCGGTCTTGTATGATTGGGAAGATGGTCCCAGCCCAGCCCCAATTTTGACAAATTCCAATAGTCCCAGCCTATGTTTTGCTCAAATCTCAATCCCAATCGCAATCTCAATTTTGAGGGGGGGGAGGGGGGGGGGGCTTGGGAATCCCATTCTCAGTGCATCAAATCCCATTTTCCCAGCCCAAAAAATGCGAATCCAAGCTCCCATTTTACTCCTTCAGGACCCTCTGGGAATGATTAATTTTTGATGTGCTTTTCCTTTCAGGATCAAACTGTCAACCATTTTTCAAGAGCATATTCCTTTACCACCAAAGTGAGTTCGATCAAAGTCTAGTAGAGCAGTTTTCGTATGACTGTGAAAAGCTCAGTGCCATATGCATGCCGTGACCGTGACCGTGATGTTTTCTATTATTTTAATTGGCGATTTTTTTCGCGCAAAATGTGATTGGTCTGGAAGTACCGTGACATTGGCGTGACCGTGACCGTGACCGTGTTCATGCCATATTCCGGGTATTTGATTGGATGAAGAGTAAATTCACCACCGTGTTCGTGTTAGTGCCGTGAGCTCTACACATTCATGAGAAACCTGCTTCATGCAGTGCAGTACAGCAGCAATACGAGTAGGAATAAGAAGAATGAATGTTCTCTCTCCTCTCGTACTCCTGCCCCTTGTCTTCCGCCCCTCCTCGCTCATTCAATACTAGCGGCCCTGACTGGAATCGATAAATATATTATCGTTGCGCGCCCTTTTAAAATAGACCCGTCTAGAATTCGAACTAAGCGAAACTACAAACACTATCACACCCACAATATAAAAGCATACGTTTTTCCACATTAATTTTGTTTTGTGTCCAGAAGTTCCTAGCTTTGATACTTCAAAGCTGGCAAAATCATTTTTACATTGAATCCAAAATCAATTTCACTTCAAATCTCGTTATGAACAAGTGCGCTACTTTGATAACGGGTTTTGTGTTATCCTAAGTTATTTCGGATTGTATTTTGACTCTCAAATAATGTATAGCTAATGGACAGTCTCTGCTACTTGGTAGGTTGGGATATGCATAAACCTCCGTAATCTGGCCTTCTACGAAGAAGACGATCAACTTTCGTTCTTTCCGAGGTGTCATCGATTAGGTGTTGAGGAGGATAAGTTAGATTTTATAGGTAAGTTGTAGAAGTCAAGGTAATGGGACAGGTCATCTATCTGGACAGTTCAATGGATTCCACGTCAATCAAAGACATAATTCATTCATTCGACATGAATTTTGAACAACTTAATAAGGGAAAAAGAGGCGTAAAAAAGTGCGCATTATTCGCTAGGAATCACTCTTCATCACCATACAAAATTAGAACTTTTTGCTATAAATCTAGTTTTGGATAAATTTGCGAAGCTCATTATTATTATCTATCAGAAAAAAATATTTGAAGTGACATTTGCGTGATTCCATTGACAATCAAGAGTTAATTTATTCATCCCGCATTAAAAAAGCATATTTTACAGCCACCACTCTCCATAAGGGACTCTTCCGTGAGGTTCCCTCCACACGCACCTCCACTACATTCTCAGTATATTTACAACATACGACACTCAACTCATAAATTTGAATGACTTAACAAGCTTTAGAATAGAGCATTATTGGTCCAGAAAATTTACTTTCGTCTTGTACAATCCTTTTAATCAGATGATTTTCGACTGTGCTCTGCTATATCTATCATAAAATGGGTCCTGTCACGATACCACGATGGTCCAGATATCCAAACCAAYCTACCTAGTATAAAGACCACTGAAAACGAAAACACAACATCCCAGCGCGGTACTCCTGTGGACGCAGAGAGACGCCTTGTTGAACTCGCTAAAGGAAATGTACTACCTGTCAAGGCCCTAACCTTGAGCCTTGAGGCATGCCGGGAATTCCTTAGATGCCGAGAACACTTTGACATTGATGACTCCTTGGACAAAGTAAGTTATATTTTTTTATCGTGATAATCGACGTTCTACAATGACGTAGTGAGTGGTGGGGAAAGGGTTCAGGCGGGAACTTTTGGCGCCAAAACGCGCGCTCGCCTGCTAACTAGCTTTGAGGAATGTAATGTTGATATTTATAATATTAAAACTATCATAACCAACTTTGTATTTTTAGAAGCCAGTAATCTCAGATAATGAATGGGATCAGATTATTGAGTTTTCGTATCAATTACGGTAGGTTCAACAGTTTTGTTATTTTGATTATTTTTTGTTTGCAATTCCTCTTTTTTGCATTTGTCTTTCGTGTTTACGTATTTTACAAGTAACGTGTGTGTCAGAGCTATTTTCGTATGAGTGTGAAAGGTTCACTGCACGAACACGGGATCTCGTGACACTGCAAGGGATACGTCAGACCAATCACATTGCTCGAGAATTTACTCTCCATCCAATCAAATACCTGGAACACGGCTCGTACATGCCAAGGTCACAATAATGTCAGACCAATCATATGCGCGAAAGAAAATCAGACAATCACGGTCACGACACGGCACGCTTACGGCACTAAGCTTTTCACACTTATAGGCAAACTGCTCTAGGGATCAGACGGAGGGACGAGGGATGCTACTTTATTATCTATTGAAGAAACAGAAAAAGCGCGCGCGTGCTGTGTACAGTTATAAAGCACGCTGGGTTGACAGAATACGAGAGAAGTGTTAGGACAAGCACGACGCGGAGCGGAGTGCTTCTCGACACTTCTCGAGTGCCAATCTCCAAGTGCTTTATAACTGCACACAGCACAGCAAACAAGTTTTTCATTTCTTTTATAAAATACAAATTACATGAATAACGAAAATGAAAGTACGCGAGCGTGCTGTGTGCTCTCATAAAGCACGCGCTCCCAACCAATCAGAACGCGAGCTTTAGAACAGTTATTTTATTATAGATACTTCGTCACCTTAACTTTCTTGTCTTGAACTTGAAATGCAGGCAACAAGGGTCGCTTGTGGCCAACGCCTTTCCCTTTTATCAAGAATGTCAGAGCATCTTCAATAAGGTAATTGAACCCAAATGTAACTGAAGCACTTCTTCAATCTTCAATCACTTGCGAAGACAAGGGCCTCATTCGCTTAGCCGACTGGGTACTGATAGAACTCTAAAGGAACCAAAGATCAGCCCTACAAGTGTTTTCAGGGTGCGCGCGCTTTTGTTGGGCTTTAATATGAACCTAGTCTTCTTATCTGGGGATCAAAATGAAAGAATGAAAACAATACTTTATTAGCACATAATTTTCCATAAAATACCTATATTTCTCCTTTTCGAAAAACTGATATTTTCACATGTGAAAATAACATGTTATTTTCACATGTGAAAGTATCGTTACCTTGCGTATTTAAGCTATTAGTTAGTTATAATAATGAAAAGCTTATTAGGTTGTCTTTATGGATAATTATATAATAAACAGAATATTACATGGGCGCTTGGAGATACGAAATTTATCTTCTCGTGTTTCGCTGCGCTCACTCGTGAGAGATCTTTTCAACACTCGAAGATAAATTTCGTATCTCCAAGCGCCCATGTAATATCCTCTATTTATCACACTATAATACATTATTTACAATTTACAAGTACGTATAAGTCTGGCTGAAAAAAGGTGAAAGTTACTCAGTATGACTATGAAGCTAATCGAGCTGAGCAACAAGTCTGTTATTAAAAGAATTCCCTTTCCTTTCTTGAGAATTGAAATATTTTTTGGTGTGTTTTCATCGTTTTAAGCCCAAGGTGGGATCAAGTCTGTCCAAGGGATCTATTTATGTAGATATTGATATTTTTCTATTTATTCAATTCTCAACTTAAATCCCAATCGATTTTTAGATAATTTAGTTCATGCGCTCGTGCTTATGAAATGTTTCTTATCGTTTTGCATTGCAGTTGAGAGAACACTTACCTCAGTGTGATATCGATGGTCAGCGGAATATATGGATAGTGAAGCCTGGGGCTAAATCACGTGGTCGAGGTAAAGATTTCTATTTATGGCGCCACATTTAGAGCCTGTGTGCTGATCATTTGACTTGATCTTCAATAGGTATTACATGTATGGATCGCCTTGAAGATATCCTCAAATTAACGGGCAATATCGTTGGGCAGAAAGAAGGTCGATGGGTCGTACAGAAATACATAGGTAGGCCATATCTCTTCGCATGGGTTTCCTGTGTAGCCTATGTAATGCGCATGCGCAACTGCGCGTCACGATAATCGAAACAAGAGGCGTCGTTTCTTACATACTTAACGAAGTCGGAGAAGGAAAAAATTATAAGAAAGTTCTTTATAAGTGATTCTATTCTTACTGGTCCAATCGTGGCTCTGTCGCGTTCAAGCATTCTGATTGGATGAGCAGAAGCTTTGCGCACTAAGATTGGTTCTAACTAGTGTTGCCATTCGACCTTGTACCATATGTCTTAAGGTGCCTCTTAGCAGTTTTTCTGACTACACGTCTGATATTTGAAGTCCCTAGTCCAACATCTAGTATGAAAATCTGATCGATCCATTTTGACCGAGACACCTTAATATAGCGTTCATGTGACTTTGTGTATGCGAGTTATCATTATCTAACTATCAATTTGAAAGCAGTGGTATCTATATCTTTATTTGATCCCCACAGAGCGACCATTACTGATATACAAGGTCAAGTTCGACATTCGTCAGTGGTTCTTGGTTACAGACTGGAACCCTTTGACCATCTGGTTTTACCAGGTAAGGTGTTTTAGGAGTTTATATCAATGGGGTATTGGTCCTATGGTAGCACATATGCCATTTCCCCTCCCCCCCTAAACCCACCTCCTTCCCCTCCCCCTCCCTCTAAAATAACCATAAATTGCAAAAAGTATTATTTTATGGAATGAACTTAGCTAACAGCTTATTTTGTTATTTTTCTTAGGATTGCTATCTTCGATTCTGTTCTCAAAACTTTTCACTTGAGGATTTCCATGTGTGAGTAAAGCCCTTACCGATCTTTTTCGTTCGTTCGTTCTTTTGTTCATTTAACTGTTTGATTATGGCGTTTACTACAAGCACTTGTACAGGGAGCCCTTTATTTGAACTTATTTGAACTCTCTTCCATCCATCATTAGGAGTATCCATCTGGCTAACAACTCGGTTCAAAAGAATTATGAGAACGATAAAGTGAGAGACAAACGTCTGCCAGACGAAAACATGTGGTCGAGTGACGATTTCAAAGCATATCTAAAGTAAGAAGACATCTACTCATTTGGTGAAGCCTATTTTTCACTAGCAAACGAAGCTAAGCGAAAATACAAGCACCCGTTCATTGTAAAAGCTGCTGGCTTTGCGCAAACACGAACGCAAGAGAAAAGACCAACATTTCCATTTTTTGTGCTTGCGCTTACGTTTGTGTATGCGTCACTTGTCAAAACCAGGCATAAAGGTTTTTTTATACTCGCTTTTGATGTTGCTCTTAAGATCCAGACACAAGCTGCAACTGTTGCGCATTCTGTACACGACTAAAGCTGCATCGCATGTCTAGCTCTGCAATGATTGCACGCGTTCCACGCAACATTGAAGCGAGAAGTACCCGGACTGATTTCTACTTCTTCAGCGTTGCGCGCAATTGGTTTTATGTTTTCATTTCGTAATGTTCTGTTGCTCTTGTTTTTATTGATACTGTTGCTGATACTGTTGTTGTCGCTACTTTGTATTATTTCCTTAGCATTCTTTCCTCTTTCCATTTGATAGCCAGTAAAAAGTAACATGCATATGGGATCAAATGTTTCTTATTGTTTCTTACTAATTTTCTTCCTTTTTTCCAAAAATATAGTAAGAAAGACTTGGGAGATATATGGGACAATGTCATCTATCCAGGAATGAAAAAAGCCGTCATCTATGCTGTAAAATCTTGTCAAGAGATAGTGGAGTACAGAAAGGTAACTTTCTTGCCATGGTCTGGCTTAGGTCGTTGGTTATAATAGTTGATAATAAAATCCCCCAATTCCTTCCAGAACTCGTTCGAGCTGTATGGAGCTGACTTCATCATTACAGATGATTACAAACCATGGCTGGTAAGGAGAAACGTTTCCTTCTAAGATACGAAACAAACTAACGGACAGACAGACAGATAGACAGGGGTGAGACAGACACAAGTCACATAGGCAAACTGGCGGACAGACAGACAGACAGACAGACGGACGGACAATCAAGAAGGCTCACCGACAAACAAGCAAGAAAGCAAACAAATAACAAAACAAGGCGCAGACAAACAATTAATCAATAGACTTTTTTCTAAGATAGGAAACGCAGTGCTTTCTAGTTTTGACTTCGGTACAGACACCCTCAGTTTATCGCGTCTCATTTATCGTTGTTCGTCCCCATGCTACAATGTCTACAATGAATTCAAATCTATCACATATATCGAACCCAGAAAAGATGCCGTAAGATGCTGGGTCGATATCTTATTGTGTCCATTATTAACAACAATTGTCATTGAACTGCAACCATTAATAAACTTAAGTAGTTCACTGCCGATAACTATTTTTTAATTAAAATTTCCAAGGTTGCATCCAGGATTTATGGTATCTTTACTTTGGCTTGTTGACTCTTGCTTAGTTGTTTGATAGAGACACATTGTATAGACGTTTCGGTCTGATCTCACACCTTCTTCAGTGTAAAGAACATTAGTTTTGCGCACGCATTTAAAATTTATTTTTACTTTTGTTTTTCAAAAGATTGAAATTAACTGTAGTCCAACAATGGGGGCGAGTACAGGTGTGACTAGGAAACTGTGCGCTCAAGTCGTAGAAGACACCATGAGAGGTGAGAAATGATGACTCATTATATTAGTTATATTCTGCTCTTAGCTTCCTCGGCTTCAGGAAAATTCTACATTTGGGGTTCCTGTGTAGTACCGTGAAGCATCTCAGTTTTCTTCCCAATCTCTTTCCTCCTATATAGAGGCTTTACACCATCACGTGATGGGAGCCATGACGGAAGGCACAACAATAGTCTTTTTCCACTGTAAATCAGATTAGACCAGATTCAATTGTTCCTGTCTCCTATCATAGCTGCCATCACGGGATGGTGTAGGAAATCAATTCTGCATTATGACGATCAACTTCTTTCTTTTTCAGTTGTACTGGACAGACGAGAAGACAAGAACTGCGACACTGGCCGATTTGAACTCGCGTACAAGCAAGTAAGTTTACACAGTTATGTTAGAGAAGATTTCGTATGGCTTTGAGAACCTCTGGTAAGGACGTGCTGTATCGTGACGGTGCTGTATTCGATTATTTTGGTTGGATAATCTTGCACGCTGTGATTGGTTTAGTCAGTATGTGATAGGACACTGACGCTGACTGTCATACGAAATCTATAACCCACAGCTCTCCAAACACTTATTTTAATTTCATGGGATTTTGAAACAGCTTTCATCCTCTTGTCAACAGCCCCTTATAAGTGCTCCTCCCTATATTGGAGTCAACCTGGCTGTCGAAGGACAAGGAATTCGCAAGCACGGTGGACAAGTACGGCGGGCCTCCTCGTCTGCTAAATCAACTACCTTATCTCGACCTCGGGACATGAAAAACGTCCTGAATGATTCAACAGAAGAAAATCAGCGCCAAAAGCGAGAATACTCAAAACTACAAAGTAGTTCTACACGAAGTTTGGAAAAGAAAAGCGAAGGCACTTGGGCAACTGGAAGCTCAGGGCAACTGCAGGCGCCTACAGTAGAAGAGAAAATCTCCAAACTAATGCCAGCTAGAAATAGAAATGGTAACCATGGAGATGTTAAAGGGAACTCTCAGACGCGTGTGTCACGCCCTATGACCATCCCCAAAGCAGTGTTGCGCTACTCCACTGATTCCAATAATAATATGCAACGAAATTCACAGTTGCCTATATCAATAGGCCCTGATCATTGAACATAGGATGATATCAAAGGATTGCTATGGTTACGTTATGAGTCTTTCAGTGGGACCAACTCAGATGACGTCGACTGAGCTTAGTAGCGTAGATGGCACGTCTGAAATCTTAAGACATAATTTCCCGCAAAATTTTACGCGCGCGTGCGGCAACAAGGCTCTTACTCTACCACCAAAACCGGCACAAAATATCAATACATCTCTAAATCTCTCAAAAATCAAATCAAATTAAATTAAATAACTATATTAGCAAAAAGGATAAAAGTAACATGTTCCTTTTTATTTTTTTCAAAAGAATTTGAAAGTAAAATATATTTGACGGGTCCGAGTGAATAGCACAAATATTTTTTTTCCAGAATAAAATTCTCAATTTCAACAATTTCAGTTATTTTTTTTAACATTGGCCTAGCCATACCGATATTTTTTCACTTCAAAATTAAAATTCTGAATGTGCATTAAATATTCTAACGTGTGTTAAGGATATTCCATTATTTAACACAAGGTATTTATGTTAATGTAAAGACTATCAATGTAAATAAAGTTTGAAGTTTATAACAATTTTTTTTGAATAAGTCGTGCGTAGGTCCCTAGACCCTAAACAAATGTCCACCACCCATGGCCACTGTTTTGAGGGTCCTGTAAGGGTAAAATGGGAGCTTCGATTCGGCTTTTTGGGCTGGGGAAATGGGATTTTATGCACTGGGAATGGGATTCATAAAGAAAAAAACTATTAAAAATGGGAATGGGATTAATTTGAGCAAAACAGGCTGGGACTATGGCATTTGGTCAAAATGGGGTCTGAGAAATGGGATTAGGACCCTCCTTCAGAGCCCTCTCTTTTTACAAACTTGAGGCTGAATAAAATTATTTAAGATACTTTGGCAGGAGTTATTGTTTTTAAATCCATCAGAAAGAATGCGGTCAATATTTGGTTATGCCCAAAACCCAAACCTTAGCAATTAAAGTAACGCAATCCTCTGGACGCTCCTCCCCCCAAAAACAATGATATCGTGTGACTTAATGTATTTTAAATTGAAAAGTAATATCTTATATTAAAGCTTGGCTTCAAATAAAATTTTAAGTTGTCTAAGCGACTGTTTCAGTTTCCAATAAAGCGGAACCTGACTTATTCCATTGAAACGGAAAATAACGCACTCCGCATTCCATAAACACCACAACCCCGTGACATCACAGTTTACAAGATGGCGGCTCAACGATATGCTTCACCTTCTGCTCCTCCGGTGTTTAGCGAGGTTAATATGACGTATAACGAGTCTTCAGGATTCTCTAACTCCATACCAGCCACTCAAGTAGAAATACACGTCTCATGCAGGTGAATTATAAAGCTATGGGTTGAATTTTAACCTAACATTCTGGCCTCACAGCATCCCACTTACGTTACTAGAACTAATTACCTTCCTCTTACAAAAACAAAGTTAAAAAATGCTTTGTTTTAGTGTTTCTGTTCTGAATATAAGTTCAGATATAACCAAGGTTGATTCTTGTTTTATTCATTTTGAAGAAAATTTAAACAATTAATGCAAAATTGTAACTAAATTCTTCATTCAAAACGTTAACTAAGAAAAAAAAGTTGGTCTCTAAAAGTCATTAAAAATTGTTATTTTATATAGCTCCTAAAAAGTTTATATAGTGTTATTTATTATGTAAATATGTCGTCAGACACGAAGAGTATCAATGTAGGCCAGTTTCTATCTTTTGTTCACGGTAAATACGTCGTTTGTTAAAGTGTTTTTGATATTATCATAGAGATCTTGCTGATATGGATGTCTTCTCCAAGTCAGACCCTTGTAAGTAATGAATAATATTAAACTTTCATGTAAATTTTAATATCTATTTGAAGAACTTGGTTTTTACTGAGCTCTAGAATAGTTAGTAGACTAAAAAATGTATCTGATTTCTGTTTTGTTTCTTGTGTGCCTATTTGACCATTAATCACTCAAACAAATTTACAAAAATTATAATTTGTATTTAAGAAATTCAAAGATTTTTATTCCAATATTGCAAATTTACATTTTGAAATATTTGGCAAAGAACCTCTATGAATGTCACAGAAGTGTTTTAAGTTCAGCTGTTTGCACCCTTAAAATTTTCAACCAGAATATATAATTTATAGAAGCATTTATCTCTTTCCTCACATGACTTAAATCATTTGATTGGTTTTTAATTGTGTATATTACCATCAATTTACTAAATTTGGCAATTTGTTTGATTAGCATGACATGAGATAAGTATACATGTCAATGATAAAGGTATTCATTAATATACAAAATGTCTGGACCCTTGCTGAATATACATGAATTCATATCTATAATCATTATCGTTGTTGTCATGAATTATCATCAGCATTCTCATTGTGACAAGCTGTCGTTGTTATTATTATTATTATTATTGTCATATTATTTTATTAATGTTGATATTATTGATTTATCTTTATTATTATTAAAGTATTATTTACTGAGTCATTATATTCTAAATATTCATATTTATGTTCATTTTATTATTACTTTTAAATAGCGGCATATATGTTACAGCTTCTTGTTTGGTAGCCACAAAAGAAGTATACCTCTTAATCTAGCTTGAGTATATTGTTTTACCATTTCAGACCACATGTCATTTCTTTGAGAATATAGATTCTTTGTTTGAGTTGTATTCATATTTATGTCTATTTTCATGTGCAAGCTTTAAACAAAAAGATGATACTCTAGGGAATGAGATGGTCTAAGATGGGAAAACATTACACCTGAGCTAAAGAGGTCTATTAGCTCTCTCGAAATCATTACATCACACATGGATAGCCACCAGCAAGCAGCCAATAAACTGACATAAATTTGAATAGAATAAGCAAGGATTATATTCACAAGTGGTTGACAATCTTTCTTTATTGATTCAGTCGTCGTTATGTACACACAAGGAATTGGCACCAAAGAATGGAGAGAGGTCAGACATAACTATCGAACCTTATAATTAATGACTGGTTAAAACATATTGACATATGCTATGTCTGGGAAAAAAAGAGGATTTTTACGGCTGGCTTGTCTTTTTACAATATCACAGAAAACTAAGCTGTTACAATTGCAATTTGAACTGCTTATTTGTGTTGCAATCTTTGGTCTGGTTTATTATTATTTTGAGTTGGGCTACCTGTGATAAAAAAATTAAAAAAATTGGGTAGCCTGTGTCTTTAGTGTGTGTTGACATGCTACACATGCTCTGGTTGGTAGATAAATGTGCTGTACTAGTAAACAGAGCATGGTGCTGATGCCATCTACACATGAGCAGCCTCTTTCTATCTAATGAAACAAATACTGAAACAGCTTTTTTCTGTGCATTATTCAGCAAGTTCCGAAAGCACAAAGAAGTGTGAATAGGAGCATAAGATATAAACAAGTGCTTTTATTTTGACCTATATATATATATATATATATATATATATAT